TGATCCTTCTAGTTGCTAGCTGGCCACACCCTAAAAATTACTTTATACATATTGTGTATTTTCTTATCTTGGTGCGTTTGTCAATGTTTAACAACCAGCTCTCCAAGAAAGAACCATATAACTCTCAACACACTTTTAAGTTTAATCTTCATTAGCATTGTCTCCGTCCCTTTCCCAATTCTAGACAATCAACAGAACGATTTTGTTGATTTACCAAGTGTAAATGCTCACGTCGAAAGCTTAACAGCTGGCGCCAGGACACTCCTGGTTGTATAAGCTCCTTGAGGGCAGGTACCGCCATGTTTTTGTCTTTGTATCCCCAGCACCTTTGTACTGTACCTGGCACATGCTTAATAAACGTTTTTGGACTTAATTGACACGGCTGTTCCCAGAGCCTGTCAAAAATAATTAACCTTTAATTAATCCTAATAGAGGTAAATTGTCCACAACCTTGGGCAAACACTGGATGGATTTTTTTTATTTCTCTCCCAGTATGATGTTCATTTTTAATTTATTTTTAGAAGTATTTTATTAGGAACTCAATCATTAGCAAACACAAATGTTTCATTATACACAGAACAACAAAAAGGGGATTGTATGTGAAGCCTATTAAGGTGTTTATACACACACACATTTGCCCTCAGGTCTATGTTTTATTAAATATCATTGCTTCCCCACTGTGCCCTCCTGGTCTGCAAATGGCTTCAAGTATAGGCCCAGTAGTGCCCCACATTTATCATTCAAGCAACAGCCTGGGCTAAGGGCCAAGAGGCTGACAATCCTAAGCCTTGACTCTGAGGGGGCTCATTCTGTGAACACAGAAGCTCATGAATTCTCTGCTAAGGCACCAAGGTGCCCTTGCCCCCAACCCCCACCTCCATGATGCAATCACAGCTCTGGATTATTAAAGGACTCACTCAACTTTTGTTTTCCACCAATTCCCATCTTTTATAAAACGTTCATGTCTTAAAAGTGTTGTTCTTTTCATGTAGCAAAAGGGTGGCGCATGCATGTGTGTGTATGTGTGTGTGTGCGTGTGTGCACATGTATTTCACAGAGAGGCAAGACTAGACATCTCTAGTGTCTTCTGCCTCAGTTTCCCCCATTCTCTCACCTCACTCCAACAGAGACTGAGTCCCGCCAGGAGGGAAAGCAGGAGGTCGAGACCAAAGGCTGGCTGTTCAGCTCTGTGATGATAAGGGACTGCATGCAATTCAGGGGGAGAGCTTAGGGCTGAATAAATAAATTTCTTACCATAGCTTGGAAGATCTTATCCTCTGCAACAGACACTGATCCAGGAGCCACAATTATCTTCATGTTTCTGTTCTGCCCATATTTAATAAGCACCACGAAGCCAGATGACCAAACACCCCACGACCTGATGTTGCTGTCTTTGGATACACAATCGTTGTCGTGGTAGGGGCGGCCGCAGAGTCATTTCAGTCGTGTCCAACTCTTTGTGACCCCATCTGGGTTTTCTTGGCAAAGATGCTGCAGTGGTTCACCATGTCCTTCTCCAGCCCATTTCACAGACTGGATACACAAACTACTTCTTTTATTTGCACCTCCCAAGAGAACCTGCCAGTTATGCTACAATTTATCTGTCACTTCCTTTTATTTTCTGGCTTCATTTACAATGAGAAAATCATGTGGTTTAATTTCTGATTGCAATCTTCTTATAATGATGTCGCCCCTTAAAAAGAAATAAAAGGAACCGGGGACTACAGGTGTGGAACGTTGCATACTCTGTCAGATGTAGCTGATGTCTGTCAGAGGAGTGACAGTGAAAGGTCATAGATGGAAACAAAGATGATATAAAAATAACAGGTATCAACAATATACATGTATACAAGTATCTATATGTGTATACACACAAATATATATAGACATACATACACACACACACATAGAGACAGAAAGAGAGAATGAGAGAGAGACAGAGACAGAGTTCAGAGTTCTGTTCCTCCAGTAGCACATGGATTGGACAAAGATTTCACACTGAAATTACCAAGTTATATCTTTAGGAGGTCCATATACTGTGGAATACGACTGAGAAACGACTTAACAACCAAAATACTGTGTAATTACTATGTGTCCTTTTCCACCTTTCCTCCACTGCAGAAACAGAAGGCAGCAAAGGACAGAGAGCCATTTTTCCATTTTTCTGTTTCACAGGTCCCCAAGAGCAAAGAATTCCTCACCTAACGTCAGCTCTTGGGGAGACAATGGGTCTCTCTGCGTTTAGGAGTTACTAGGATGATAATTAAAAGTCTTTCCAGCATGGCATAAGCTGCCATCGCCTATGCTCTGTTGGCACAGCCTTCAAAACCTCAGGGTCCTACCTCCAGGCTTCAATGACGCACTGAAAGACTTTTGTGGAAGACATTTTAACAAGCTGTTGATTTTAAGTTCAACTCTGCCGGCACATTTTTTTAGAATGTAGAGAGACAACCATGATGGTTCAAGGGCCCTATGACGTTCATTTGAAGGAACTAGGGACGCTTAACCTGGAGAAGAGGTGGGGTAGAGAGATGGCGACCACAACACTCGATTTTGGGTACTTTAAGGGATGTGATGAGGAAGAATGGACTTGTTCTCTGTAGCAGAGCATAGCGCTGGAGCAATGAGAAGCTACAAAAAGGTGAGTCAGGTCCAGCTACACTCTCCTTCCTTCCCCATCTTGACCTCTTAGTAAACCAGTTCAACTCTGGACTGTCTCTTCTCTTTCCCGCTTATCCCATCACTGATCTCGACCTAGAGAAAATCAAGACAAGCTGGATCCAGTCCAAGCTTATGTTACGTAATACCAAGTGGGCCCTCACTGCTGTGAGGCAATTCTTCTCTGCCCCTCACTGAGTCACTTTCCCACTTTCCACAGCAGTTCTTCCAGGCATTTTCATCCCTCCTCAAGCCTCCCCTGGCTCCATGTCAGATCTGGGAGTGGGTCAGGTCAGAGTGGGAAGGGATATCAAGGGTTTTTGATATATTCCAATAAAACCTCCTCACACTAGAGAAGAAAAAACTGACTGCCAGACAAAAACAATTTAGAAGCCATGTCTTAGAGGCTCACACCTCTAAGCCTGACTGTCCTGAGTGGAAGAAGGTGAGGTTGAGAGGTCAGGTGGCTTGAATATTCTAGGGACTTACAAAGGGATGACTTGGAATAAACTCCTAGGACTATTATTTACACACCCACCCACCCACACAGACACACATACGCCCCCCCCCATCCGTGCCCCACCTTCAACTTCTTTTTCAGTGTTTTCCCTCAGCAGGTAAGCTGGCTGAAGGCAGGGACTGTCCTCCTTTTCGCTTGCACCTGTACTCCTGGCACACAGTAAGCACTTCTTAGACATGAAGTCAGACGATCAGAGCTGGAAGGGACTTAGACGAACCCCCCTGATTCCTCAACTCCTGCTCCTTCTCTACACTCTAGCTTACTTCCAATGATTATCTTAATTGTGTAAACAGGGAAAAAAACCTCAGAAAGCTACACAAAATTAACATCTTTTATTTTTCCCTTTAACATTACAATTCTAAGCTTCACTTGAAGATTGTGCACATAGCTCCAAGTAACACAGAAGCAAAGACTGCTTAAAAAAACCAGGGCCTTCCTTTAAGGCAGGCCAGCTGTGGGGCTGGAAGAGGGGCGATCTGACTTCTTACGTCACAGATCCCAGCAACATGGGAGCATCACATGCCCGTGTCAAAATGGCCCTGAGGATTTCTCACCATTCCCCTGCTCTCCAGCAGCTCAGTCGAGCTGGACCTGCCAGATTCACCCTTGCACACATGGTGAAAAATACTGCGAGGAACCCTCTCCAGCCCCCAGCCCCAAAGGGGGGGGGGAAGTTTATGCAATATAATAAACCATTAGTCAAAGAAAACAAAGCAGGAATACTTGTCTAGAATACTTGATATTCCCGTGCACAGTATAGTTGAAATCCGGAGTACTAGCAGCCCACCTCAGGCAGGGCAGTCCTTCCTCCCTCTGGTATTACTCTAATATTCCAGCATGAGTAACCCAGAGGGACAGCTGGGGGTATAAAGTTCATGCATAAAGTGAATGCTGACAAAGGAAGGGAGCAGTAACTCAGTGGTTTGTGCTTACATAAATACACATAATAAGGGGAATCATGCATTTACCATACAAAATAAAATGTACATTATCTAGAAAAACCTCAATAAAATTGCCTATAAAAATATAAACTGTAGTGAAAATATACAAAAAGTACTTATTAACCATTATTCATTGCATTAAAATGTGGGATTTTATCATTTTCACCTTGAATACTGGTATTTCCAAAGCACTGGCTTAGAACAGACCAGAACGACTGCCATTCTTCTAGCTGAAGTGGGAGGCCCAGCAGCTAAGTTGCTCTGTGTGGCCTCTGGGCTCCTTCGCTAACTATCCAGCCTTGGTCTCTAGACACTCGCCCTCTGCCAGCCCATTTGCCCTGTGGGTTCTCACTATAGAGGATAACAGTGGATCCCAATCCTCTATAGGGTGAATGGCACATGCCACGCGGAGACCAAGATGAATTCTGAGGAAGGCCCAGCTCCCTCCTGCCAGCACTTTGGTAGAAGTGACCGCTGGAGGAAGTAAAGGAAAAGCCTATCCCTTTCATTCCCCACTCTCCGCACTCGACGGGGACATTGGTGAACTCGTTTCTCCACATTCTCTTCTGGTGTGGCTCCAGAGCAGTGGTGATGGGAATGGACCCCAGAATTGCCAGAGCAAGAGCTGGCCTTGTCTCCCATATTTCTAAAAGAAATTCTAATATCAATAGCCCTGCAGAGATCTGCTGGTCCCATGAATTCCTTCCAAGGAGTAATCCCTCTGCTCCAAAAGATCACCACAGTATTTACTAGGGAATCAACTGATCAAACACCATCCCATTAAGAAAGGGCTGAGGGGCGGCTAGGCAGGGCAGTGGATAGAGCACCAGCCCTGGAGTCAGGAGGACCCGAGTTCAAATCTGGCCTCAGACACTTGACACTAGCTGTGTGACCCTAGGCAAGTCATTTAATCCCAACTGCCTCACCGGGAGAAAAAAAAAAAAGGAAAGAAAGAAAGGGCTGAGTTTACAAATTCAGCCCACATGTGGCAGTTGTCCTCTTTAGAAACTTTCTTGAATCACTTTCAAACAGCAACTGCAAGATCTGTTTCTAAAAACAGAATCTTGTGAGAAGTTAACCCCAATGGATCTGCCAGAGATGAGGAAACTCCCGCTCTGGAGTTTCCCAAGTTAAGAACCATCACTTCATAGGGCAGAGGTCAGCGACTGCTCAGTGTGCATCAGTGGCTGGGGAAGTCCCAGATTGGCTTGTAACGCAAGGCTCGACTTTCCACCGAGTTCCAAAGAAGCATGTGCTCTGCTAACTCCAGCTACACCCATCCTTCCCCATCCCAGTCAGGGATAAATTTTAGAATGTATTTCACATGGAATTTAGTATCTGAATAGGAAATAAGACTATTATATTACAGGTACAGCTCACTACAGAGCTTGGCCTCCTCAAAAGAAGAACACTCCAAATTCTAACATCAGAAAGATTAAACTGAGCCTCAACTTATAGGACAACTAAAAAAATGAGTGGAAATACAAAACATTTTTTAAAAAATAAACTTGATTATAAAACAGAATTTCTAGAAATCACTGAACAAATTTTAAAGTTAGTGTCCACAGAACACACATCATTATTTCTAGAAGTCTTCATCCAAGGTAGGGACTTTGGAAAAAATATAATTTCATATCTCAGTTTTTAAAAATGTTCCTTACAATGTCTATGAATTAGAGTGGAACCATGGTATTAAGCGCAAAACAATTTCCTCCAACTAGAGTCTGTCTAAACCCAAAATGGACATATTTACTACTAGAAACTACAGGGAGTCTCCCAGAACAAAGGCCCTCCCACATTCTGATTTGATTAGAACAGATGGCAGCCACTTTACTATCAAGCAGCATCCCAGGGCACACTGACAGCTGGGAGGACACCCTTGTAAACAGCTGGCCACCGGCTGACAAGTGGCCAAAGATGATCGCTAACATTAAGGAAAATGTGGTTCTCTGGGAGAGACCTTTCTCCAGATTCTCACAAAGGAAATGCTCTAAGACTAACCAGGGACCAATGGGGCCATTCACCCTGACAACATGGAGAGCCAGGGCAGTGCTGGAAACCTCCTCCCATTCCCAGAAGGGGCGCTTGAATTAGGGAATGCAAGAAAACTCACCTGGAGCCAAAGCAGTTTGTTTTCTTGGGACAGAAACTTCTGAGAAAAACTGAAGGTGGGGGGCACTCAGCCTTCCCAGGCACTGAGGAAACATGGCTACACTTGACCCATCTGGCATCCCTGGTCAATGTCCAAGCTGTGCTCGTTTGTGTGATGTGGTTTTTTTCCCTCTTTGGGAAGTAAAATCTTATACTGATCAAAGAGTTTTGCCAAGAGATCTACTGTAAAGCCCCCTCCCCCAAATCACTCCATGACTGCCATGGGTACTGGCTCCATAGCATAGAGATTTGCCATACATATGATACATACGATACATATATTCTAACAAGCTGAATGCCATCAAAGATGGCAGCCCCATTACTCTCTGCACCTACCATAAATATGACTGGCAAATACTACGGATGAGAATTAGGGAGAAGTGTGTATGTGGAGGGTTCCAAAGTCCTAAAATTGTTTCTGAATTCCTGTTTGGGAAGATGCCTGTGGAAGGACAAGGAGAAATGCAAACACAGGGTTGCACGGGGCATTTTCACTGTGGCTTTACATGAGTGTAGAAAAAAGCATTTCGATGACAGCACTTCAGAAAGGGGGGGGATGCCCTCTTTCAAGAGCACCTTCTGCTGCTTGGCCCCCATGCAGCAGATGCCAGACAACCCTGGTCAGGAAGGTCGGGCATCCATCCCCCAGAAATGCTCCATATGGAGACTGCTTCAGCTACAGAACGACTATCTATGAGCTGAGGCCTTGCCAGGGGCTGAGGAGTCAAGCAAGGTCAGGTCTGAGGAGGGAATGATAGCTCTAAGCGTGCACACGCTGCCGGGCCTGCCGAGCCACGGACAAAAATTTTTCTAACTTCACACACAACTGATACACGACTGCGTGAAAATGGCTGTAAACAAGTGAGTGGGATTCTAACTCAGGCATTAAGAAAGGCTGTCACGTTTGAAAATGTGTCCAGCAGACTTCCAAACGCTGACATTTTACATTCTCTGTTTCAAAGAACGGACCGGCCTGGGCGCAGTCTGCTCAACTCGCTTTGGTCATGATACGTGGGGGGCGAGGCTCCGCTCAGCTGTCCTCGTCGTCATCACTGATGAGGTCGCGCTTGTCGGGGTCCGTGTCTCGCTCCCTCACGAAGTCCTCCCGGATGGCCTCCAGCTCCGTGAGCTCCAGGCGCACCTTCTCCAGGTGGTAGCTCCTCCGATTCCGGATGGGCCGCAGGGGGAAGGGATTCAGGTCACTGAAAGCAATACTGATCAGCTTCCTGGAAGACAAGCACACCAGGCACAAGGGGGCGTCACTCCGGGGCCTTCAGTCAAGTTCCATTTCAGTGTGCTGTCAGTCAGCCAGTCAACTAGCATTTGTTAAGCACCTGCTAGGTGCCAGGCACCACGCTAAGTGCAGGGGATACAAAGAACAGCCAAAGACAAAGCCTACCTTCCAAGGCTCTCAGTCCAATGGGGGAAACCACATGCAAACAGCTACGGACAAACCAGTCAGAGACAGGATAAATCGGGGCTGGGGGGCAGACATGAACAGTGAAGGGGATCTCACACCTAACAAAGTCTGATGATGACTAGATCCTTCAGATCCATTGTGCGGTGGAGAGCACACTGAGGGGGAGGGGACCGAAGGCTCCACGTGACCTTGGGCAAGTCATTTCTCTTTGGGTATCCACTTCTTTGTGGGTTGCACTAGATGATACTGAGGGCCTCTTTCTAGCTCTAAATTCTATTATCTGTGATCCCTGGGCAGTTATATGGAACATCTGAGTCACACATTTACAGGATTTTACATTATTCGTTACAGAGTACCATTTAAGGATAAAAAAAACCAAGGGCAACTATGAATAAAAACTTAACAATTTAAGAAAAAATAAAACCTCAAATGACTTGAGGAATCACCATGGATTTCTGACACTCTCTACTTCATCCATCATGTTCTCATGGGCAAAAACTACCTTTTGGGGGGCAGCTAGGTGGCGCAGTAGATACAGCACTGGCCCTGAAGTCAGGAGGACTTGAGTTCAAATTTGACCTCAGACCAAACACTTGATACTTACTAGCTGTGTGACCTTGGGCAAGTCACTTAACCCTAATTGAAAAAAAAAAGATGGGATAAAAATTACCTTTTGGAGGGAGAGAAGCTTTTTCTTCCAATGCTGGCATAAGACACAACAGTCAACATGATGGTGGCTGATGGCACCATCCAGCCCTTGGCACGGCTCTATCCTGGACCCTCCTCTTTTCTAACTCCCCACCCCTCAGTAATCTCAATGGCTCCCATGGACTCAACTGTCATGTGTATGTAGATGCCTCCCAAATCTACACATACAGTCCAAATCTCTCTTCATTTCTAGCCAAGGCACATTAACCTCAAGGTTCTGCCCGCACTTCCGACTCAATATATCCAGAATGGAACTTTCCCCTCCACGTTTCCCTATTTCTATGGATGACACCACCATCTTTCCAGTCACTGGTTGGAAAGCTGAGTCACACTGGATCCCTCCCTCTCCTTTACAGGCTTCCACCCATGTCTAATCAGCTGCCAATGTCCCGTCCACTCCACAGCCACAACCTCTCTTGCATCTGTCCCTTGCTTTCCCTAACTCTTGTCACCTGCCTGGACTATTATAACCCCTTCTGTATGAGGCTCCTTGACCACAGTCTCTCCAATCTATCCTCCACCCAGCGAGTGGCCAAAGGGATATTCTCTGCTGCCACAACCTCCAGTGACCCCTACTGTCTCTAAGATAAAATACAAACCCACTGCTAAGAAGTAAAGCCCTTCACATCCTCGCTCCAGCCAAGACTTCTGAATTGATTATCCATTTCTCCTTCACACGCTCTGTGTTTCTCGCCCACCTGGCTTTTGCTGCACCTGCCAGAGGATACTCCAGCTCCTGCCTCTATCCCTGTCCAGGCCGTGCCTTTCTACTCCTGTCTTTCAGCATCCTTCCATTTCTTCAAAGCTCAGCTCGAGCCCCACTTCCCAATGAGGCTTTTCTAGATTCCCCCAATGACCTTGTCTTTGTTTTGTGTGTATTCTGCACTTTTTTATTTTAACATCTGCACACATATAAAGAATGCCCCTGGAGGACAATCTCTCCATTTCTCTGATCCTAGCACCCAGTGCCTGGCACACCTGGTAAGTGTTTGTTGACTCACTGAATGCCTTAGACTTCCACAAAGTATGAGATCAAAGGAAGTCAGAGAGATAAGAATCACAGCATCTTGAGCTGGAAGAGACCTTAGCATCTAGTCCAGGGCTGTTTAAACTTTTTCCACTCAGGACCCCTTTTCGGTTCTGGCAGCGTTCACTGGTGTCGCATGGCCTGAGGGCTTGTTCAGTGCAAGGTGTGTGTGCTTTGTGTTCAGAACCAAGGCTGCAGTGAAGTTGTGACATGCAAGACGGGCAAGTGCTGCCAGAAACCCCTCAGATTCAAGTGTTTGATTTCAAATTAACTTTTGGTCATTGTGTGTTCAGAAACCTTTCACGATTGCCAAGTTTTTCAAAACCCACAGGTAAAGAAGTGCTGAATCCTAGTGCACAGAGGCTCAGGGGGAAGAAGTCATTCACCCAGGGTCTCTGAGCTAGCTGGTATCAGAAGCGCAACTAAAACTCACACCTCCCCTAGATGGATGAAGAACACCAAGATGCAAAGTCACTGCTACCTTGGACAAGTCACAATTTCTCTGTTCCTCCGCTTCTTCACCCGTAAGAACGAGGTCTTCAAAATCTCTTTGAGCTCCCAAAATACTATCATCCCATGCTAAATTACCTCAACATTTTAATTTCAAAAATATTGGAGAAGTAATTCCACAGAAATTCACAAGGTGGAGCTCTGCTGCCGTGTTTAAAAGGCCAACTGAAGAAGAAGCCAAGTCAGTTCTCAGTTTGGCAGGCACTGGGCTAAATGCCACTTTGACTAATGTTCCCCAGCAGAAATGACAGGCATTTGGCACACCTCCCAGCATTTTCAAGGATACTGGCAATATCCGGAGTCTGCCCAACTACGAACTTTGTCCTGGGAGCCAAAATAGCCTGAAAACAACTCATTTTAAAGAGAAGAACCAGCTGCTTCAGGCCCCAAACTGTCAAAAATTCCTAGAAACAGAGAAGTGACTACACCTCTCGTTGGTTCCCCTCAGTCCGGTGATTCCATATTTCAGAGGTTCCTTCTCCAAGATCCCCAATAATCACATGAGTTAGGCATAAGCTACATGAATAAAGGCTACATCTTAACTTCTGAAGAATCCTATCTTCACTCTAGCCCTCCACTTGCCTATCACTGTGCAGAGGCAACCCTAGACTCTCGAAGGCTGTGCCAGCAGCACATAAATTTGGCCCAGTCCCGGTGGGCTTCAAGTACTGGTCCAGTAAAGAACCACATATTCTATCTGGCCCCGCTACAAGGCTAGCTATGGCTGATTAATATTTTTAGCCACACCAACTCAAAGATTATATGTTACATCATAGAGAAGCTGAAACCTGTGTTGCTGGAAGGCATCCCCACATTATGGAAGGCACGGATTTTTGTAGAACTTAAGTACAAGGATTAAATCGCTAACATGAAATGAGTGACTGACACATATTTAAATGCCATTCCCTATTTTATGCCTCTACAGAAGCCTCACACAAACCTTTCTCCGCCACTTCTCTCAGTGTTCTGGTGAAGCAATGCATGCCTGTGCCTCTGCCACTGCCCAGTGATCTGGGTGTCTTCCCCCACAACTCCAGGGCCCCTACTCTCCATACCATTCATCTGTGCCCTTGACTGTGTATTACTGAATGGCAGGAGTAACTTAGCTGCTATTTGTTCCATACGCATGTCTGGGTCTTGTTTCTCTGACATGACTGTAAGGTCACAGAGAGCAAGAATCATCAGGTACATCATCCCCCTCCTCCAGGCCTCATTTTCCCAACCTTAAAAAGAGAGGGTGGACTACACACTAAATCTCCAGGGGCTTTGACATTCAAAGAGTCTCTACTTTCTTCCCAGAGCACTTCACAAAGTGTTGTAGATATTATAAACCAATGAGAAAATTAAACCCATCAAACAAGCATTTGTATAATGCTGTAGTGCTCAGTAAGCCACAATGCAGAAAACGCTACAAAATTAGAGGGGAAAGGTTTTCATCTGCCACAGCCAGCAGCTGCTAATCACTCTGCCTTCTACCTCTGGCTGCTTTTTGGCTGATGTGATTCAGAAGACCTGTGCAGCCTTTCTCCTCTCAGGGCCACCCTGAGCCTGGTTTAGGCCACTCAGGGACACCCTCACTGCCTCTGATCTTGGCCACAGGTAAAATCTAATTAAAATGAGCACTGGCAGAAGCCTGAGGGGAGGCATTGACACTAGGGATCAGCCCCAGCTGCTGGAGGGGCTGTGAGACAAGCTTGAGGTTTTTTAGCACCAGTGATTGACAGCATCACCTCATTCCTGTGGTTGGCCAGCAGTTCAGGAATAATAACCCTTGAGTGCGCGTGTGCGCGTGTGTGCGTGCGCGCGCACACACACACACACACACACACACAGATTTCTTCATGACAGAACCATTAGTCAAGATTCCGAACTTGCTCCCGAGGCCCAGCAAGGTTGTCTTTCGAATCCCATACCTAGCATCGAGAACCGTGCGAGTGAAGTGCCGCAGACACTTGAATATGGCCATCGGATCGTGTAACTTCAGAATCGCTTCTTCTTTGTACTTAAAAAGTGCCAAAGCAAAGCGGAAAATGACCTGTGGATTCAATGACAAGAATCAGAGCATTGCCAGGCCTGCTCAGAGCCCAGGGGACCTCTTCTTATCACACACCATGGAAGTCATGGATTTTTGCCTCAGGTGAGGTAGGGAGGTGCAGGTCATCTTTCCTGAGACCTAGTCTGTCAAGGGGACTTTCCTGAGCCATGACCACGTTTGCACCATTAGCCGAGGGACTGTCTGCCTGCTGGAAGAAGCGTGAGCAGTTGACATCGGGGTCCCTCCCTGAGGGCAGGAGAAGGCCGAGCTCGTTGGTTTCCACTCACCTGGCTGGGGGCTTTTTAGGGTCTCTCCTAAAACCGCAGCACTATCAGCTTCACTTTGGTCTATCCTAAAACTTTACAACTGAACATACTTCTAAACTTTTCTTTCACAATGTAATACTTCTGTTCCTAATACGACAGGGAATCAAAAACTGCTGTTCTTATCTCAATTAATGGGTTGTTGATTGAGCGGAACACATGGTTGTATCAGAAAGAACATTGGACATTGACTGGTTAACTGACCTTCGGCAAGCCCCTTAGCCCCACTAAGCCTCAGATTCCTCATCTGTAAAGAGGAGAAAATAACCCTTATGCTGCCTGACTCATGGAGCTTTGTAAGCAGGGTGCTGGGTAAGGCACCATCTTCAAGTGTTTGTCCCTTCACTGGACAGCATAGAAACCAACAGGCCAGCAAAGCTTCTCCACCTATGGGCCACTATCACTAAGTGACTAACTACCACCAGCTGTTATGCTTCTAAGACTGAACCAGTTAAGAACTGTACTTCAAACTAACTACAACTGACTCTAGATATTAAATTAGTGGGGCCTAAACTCCTAGGTTTCAGATCATAGAGTGCTACTACTGCAAAACTTAGGGTGGGACCTGCTAAGGTCGGGTAGTCACCTCTGAGCCATAGTTGGGGCCCATCTTACTGATGAACTAGAATATAAATTCTTCACTTCTGGGCACTTTCAAAAACATCTGTTGATTTATTTTGGTGTGAAATCAAGCTTCAGAACAGAGCCCTACTCCCCAAGGAAAAGAAATTCCAGTGCCCTAATAAACTTCTGGCCTTCTCTAGACCAAATAGTTCTGGGGGTCTATTGTAATATATGCTTTCCTTTAATAACACAGAAAAAAATCACTGACATCTATACAATACAACAGGTCATTTCTCCTGCACATAGGAAGGGTGCATAGTTGTGGTCTTCCAATATACACAGGGCTGCTGTCAATGGGAGGGATCAGTCTTGTACTTTTTACCATACAGGGCAGAATTAAGGACAACGGACAGCAGATTTAGACAACATAAGGAAAAACTTTCTGACAAGCAGACTGGGCCGCCTCAGGGAGACAGGTGCTGGGGTTTTAAACTGTGGGGAGATAACCATTTGTTACGTTCATGGCAGGAAAGATTCATGATTTCACGATTAGGACGCCTCTACGGTCCCTTCCACAACTTGCAAGCTATAAGAAGAGAAAGTTTGCCATTTCTGCTTTTATCCAATAAGGACTGACTGAGGTCATACAGACCTGCCTTAAGGAGGCCTTCAGAAAACAGTCTGCCTTCAGAAGATAGTCTGCATTTAGCTCAAATGAGAACGGACTTCAACATCAACTAAGGTCTCTCTGCTTCATGTCACTATTGCACTGATTATTCTGCTCCACTCGAAGACTTCTGATGTAGAGTGATTATCAGTATGGTCATGCAGTATCTTCAAATATATAAGTAAAACAACATACCTTTGGTCCTTCATAAAGGAAAGAGTCCCAAATTTTAAAGAGGATGTCACTAACAACACTGTCCACAAATATCACCAGGAACCAGTTGAATGTGATGAGAGTATAGTCAACTTTGTGCTGTTCAAAGTGGGCATGTAACCGTGGCAGCTTCTCACTCATGAGATCCTTGAAAACTCGCTGGTCAACCTTAAGAAAGAGAGAAGAGAGAGATAAACAGTATCCATCCACATCACTTTAGCAGAGTTGTGCAAACCATTGCTGAGGATCCAGAGGGCGCCTAAATACACATGGTCAAAACTACCCCAGGTTTACATGAAGCACGACACCTGGAACAACACATGCTGTTCTTCAGATCAAAAGCCCACTTTATTGACTCTCTGATCATGTGCAGAGAGGGCTGAAAAAACCAGCACTGTCTTCTCCACCCTGTACAGAGCAGACAATCCCCGAGTTTGATCCAAATACCTACACTCAAAAGGAGCTTATAAAGAGAAAGAGGCACTCCCAAAGAGCAGAGACATTCACAAACCACTGCATGGAAGACTAGATACAATGCACGTCAGAACCAGAAGCTGCCTTAGGAAATCGTCAAGTACAACTGTATCACTCTATGGGGAAAAAGAGCCACCAGGCAGGGAGCCTGCCCCGGGCTCCTAGTCACTACCCAGTGAGGGTCCTTCGTATTACACTGCAGCTCCTGGAGGACGCTGACAAAAGTGTTTAAGGGCCTAATAAACGTGCTGACTCGTTCAACCAAATAAAGCCAACCTGCCAACCTGCGGTGGATGTAGCTGTCAGAACCACACGGACGACATTACCAATGTACTTTGTTGTTGTTCGACTCTTCGTGACCCCATTTGGGGTTTTCTTGACAAAGATACCAGCGTGATTTGCCATTTCTTTCTTCAGCCCATTGTACAGATGAGGAAACTGAGGCCAACAAGAGTTAAGTGACTTGCCTAGGGTAACTAGTAAGTAAGTAAGGTGGCTAGTAAGTATCTGAAGCCAAATTTGAACTCACGAAAATGAGTCTTCCTGACTTCAGGTCTGGAGCTCTATGTACTATGGCACCACCTAGCCTCTCCTTACTACTCTGTAAAGCCCCTTAATTTCATCTGAGGCTGGGGCTAGTGACCTTTCGAGTGCTGCATGCTAACTGTAAAATCAGTGCTATGGCTTAGCCAAACCCAAGGCTGTCCACTGGTTAAAGGGAGGAAGAAGAAAGAAAAGGACAGCAGGTGGGGGGTAGAGCATGAAATGAGGCACAGAGGAAAAAGAAAGTGATAAATGATCTCTTGTCATTCCTAGATTCCCAGCCCCCAGGGGCAAAGTCTGTGTTCCTCCTCTACCCTCTTGGCATCAAAGCCAGTGCTGAGCTCAGAACAAGCATTTCCGCCAAAGCAGGCTAACTGGAGAACCTCAGCAATGCTGGGAGCAGGGATCAAGGCGAGGACAAGTGCTTCACTACTACTCCGAAAGGTCAGTCTGGGACCTCCAGGAGCCCCACAGGAATGAGGCCTTTAGCTCAGGTCTCTGGTTTGGCTTTCTCTGCCTTCATAATTCTCACAAAACTCCACATTTGCTGTTAAAACATTTCTCAGCGAACTCAGAGACTTCTCAAAGTGGAAAGCAAAGGCTACCTTTATTACAATCTCCCTAGACGGCTGTCTGCTCCTCCGATACACGTGGAGAGAGAGACTGCCTAACAGGGGCCGCTTTATAAAAGCAAATCTCCGCCCACCATGAAAACAAGTCTCCACCCACCACTATCCCATACCCCCTTACCTGGGGGTGGGCTTACATTCTAAGCTCCAGAATTTCTTCCTATCCCCTTAACCAGGAGGTGGGGCTTACATTTCAGGCCCGAAATTCAAAGCCAAGGACAAACGGCTCAGGTTGGGGGTGGGGCGGGGTTTATTCTTTCTGTTAAGTGCTTAAAAACATGAGTGGGGGAGGATTTTGAAAGTAGTAATCAAGAATTACTTGACCCTTTGAGGAGCCTTCACTTCTGAGAGTTCATTTCTCACACTACCTTCTGAACTCATTACCTTAATTACACTGAGAAGTCTTCACTGGGACATCCCATTCAGCGGTGTCCAACTTTCTGTGATTGTGGGCTTTTCTTGGCAGAGATCCTGGAGACGTTTGTCATTTCCTTCTCTAGCTCATTTTACAGATGAGGAAACTAAGGCAAACAGGGTTAAATGACTTGCCCAAAGTCACACAACTAGTAAGCCTCTGAGACCAAATTTGAACTCAGGTCTTCCTGACTCTAGGACTGCTGCTCTATCCACCGCACCATCTATCTGCCCTAATCACGCAAACATATCTTTCTAAAAGATTTTTAAAATGTTGTTTTTTATGCTCTTAGCACAGGTTGGTGCACATTTTATCTTTAAATTTACATATCAAAAAAGATTTGCTTTTTCTCTTGTACTAATATCTAACTGAAACAACGAAAAGACAACAGCTTAAGGTTCCCCCCCACCCCACCCCAAACACTGAGTCACCTGACACTTTGACCTTCTGTCCTTCCCTTTTGTGCTGCAGAAGTACAAGACTTTCCTTCCTGACTTGAATCCCATCTTTTCCCCTTTTCTTTCTCACATGATGGTATAAAAACTGGGGACTGACACCAACATGGATGTGAAGATTCATGAGCAAAGTGTCTATGAACAAATACTCTTCTCTTGAGATGTGAACAACACAGGTAATAAACAGGAATGAACAGCAGAGGTGGCATTCTTTTTATAAGATAGACTTTACTGATATCTTTTGATTCTATATCATTTATAATTTCCCTTGGACTCCTTCCCTTAGTCTCCTCCCAAACAGTCACCTCTTATAATAAGGAAGAAAAAAAGGAGAAAAAAAGTTCAGCAACGTCAACCAAAACATCAAAAACGTCAGATGTTATGTGCAATGTTCCACACCTCGGCAGAGGAGTCTGGCGAGGTCTGCTTTGGGGCCAAGCTTGGCTACTCTAACTTCAGAACATTCATTTATGATTGCTGTGCTCTTTCCATTTCTATAGCTGTACTCATTGCACAGATTGTTCTCCTAGCTCTGCTGACTTCACTTCACATCCGTTCATATAAGTCTTTCCAGGCATCTCTGTCCTCGTCATGCCTGTCATTTCTTACAGCATCATAAGAGTCCATTACATTCCTAGGTTACGGTTTAGCTATTCCCACCTCAATGGAAGCTGACCTTGTTCCCAGTTCTTGGCCACCACAAAAAAGGCTGCCATAACGTCGCGGTGCATATGGGGACTTTCTTTTTGTCATTAACCTCCTTGGCCTATGTGCCTGGATCAAACAGCAGAGATACTTTGGTCGCTGTTGTTGCGTGACTCCAAATTGCTTTCCAGAAGGGTTGTGGCAGAAGTGAGATGCTAGCCTCCAACTCTGGCCCCCATACTAAGCTACAACCATAGGCCTACAGAGTGTGACAAGCCTTTCTGATTTCAGATCTTCCTCTTTCAGAAGCGCCCATAAAACATGACTGGTTTAACTTTCCAGCTGACAATTTCTTCAACGATCTTCCCTTAAATAACTAAAACCTTAAAAAGAAATAAACAAAATGACAAATTCAACTCTAAAAACAAGTGATGAAAATGCAGTACTTGCTGCATCCTGTAATACCTGTGATCCCAGGAGAGTCTTTGTGTAATAATCTCGGGGCATGAAAACTTCCACGATGGTAACGAGACACCAGAAGGCGTCTTCTTGGTCCAAGTAGAGGAGAGCGACTGCGGCCAACCTACAAGCAGACCGAGAAAAGTCAAAGAGCTGGCCCTTCCAAAAGAAGCTGTCTGCTTCGACACTATTTACAGGAGACAGATGTGTTCCTCACTCCTCTCCAATAGCCAAAATGATGTAAAACTTCCCAATTAATAAAAACTAGCAGTACTCCTCCTCAAGCCTAGCATTCCCAAAAGTTTTGAGAACTGAAAAAAAGATTTCCTTTTCCGTTTCCATTTCTGTTTTCTTTGTCGCCAGGACACCACAAGTTAGTTCTTTCCTTTGACTAGACTGTTTCTCAGGAGCAATCACACACACACACACACACACACACACACACACACACACACACACACACACTCTCTCTCTCTCTCTCTCCTCTCTTTCACACACACACACACACACACACACACACACACACACACACACACAGAGCATTAAAAAACAATTAAAAAAACCCCAAGAAGCTTATGTCTTCATCTCATTAATTAGCCTTGAACTCTTCAAAGAGTTCAAGTAAATTCATGGACACTTAACAAGAAATCCGGAGACAAACGTGGAAAGCAGTGGTAGTTTGAAGCCAAAGATGCTCCTAGCTCTAGGTGACTGTGAACAAGTGAAGGCCTCTCTGGGAGCCTGCTTCCTCATCTGCCAAAGGAGGCTACTAATGCTTGTCCTATGTATGACACAGAGTTGTGAGGAGGGAAACATTATCTAAGGCCCTGTGTATCTAAGGGAGAGCTGGCTTGAAGGATTCAGAGAAATTGGTAGAGGTCTGATTTTATGGCCTCACATTCTACAAGGTTCTGGAAAAATTAATCTAGGAGGGATAAGAAGGTTTTGAGAATGAAATTCTGAAGCTGCAAAGAGAAACAGTACTGAAGAGGAAAAGAAAGTGGGAGTGGTTTCCAGAGGTTAAGAAGCAGGCCCAGGAAACTCCTCGTCCACCCTCCATTGTCCAAAGACACGCCCAGAGGATGGAAGCCGCAGCAGCTAAGGGAAGTGTCCTGGGAGAAGAACGGCAGAGGAGTTGTGCCCGGGGAAGGAAGAGCTCAGGGCACAAACGTGTTTGTCCTTTGGGTCAGTTAATTTAGCTCTTTTTCGGGGGGGGGGGGATGTCCAGCAGGGCACGCTGGCAGCTTCAGGTGGGTGTGCAGTGCTCACTACTGAGGAGCTGGGATCTTTGGCAGGAGGGAACCATGGAATGTGACAAGTCAGACTTGGGCATGAGGAAGGCTGCTTTGCCAGCCACGCGGAGAATGCACAGGAACGGGGCAGAAACTAGTCAAGAAAGCAGGCTTGAGGGAGAGCTGCTGAACACTCAGAGTGAACCCAAAACATAAGACTTCTGCCCACAATGGTCAGAACCAAATGACTTATTTTGCTAGTAGGGGCTTCTACTGCCTGAAAAACTCCATCAACAGGAACTGCTCACCCCTCAACATGCCAGCTCGAGGATCTGCACTCTACTGAGGATAAAGTGTCCAAAACTTCTGACAGAAGCTGGCCCAGCCTGGGTACAGGTCTGGCACATTTGTTTGAACATCCTTCCCTGGTGCGCTACTCAGTCCCTCCCCATTAATTACAGAGAGAACCAAGTGGCTTCAGACAAAAACTATGTGGCTTTCCTCCACACTACATGACAACAGGGTTTATTTCTCTGAACTCCTTTAGCATATTGGATGTTCCATTTCTTCTCCTCCCTCATAAAGTGGGGAGGAAATACGGCACAGTGGGAGAGCACTGGCTATGGATCCAAGGACCTGGGTTCAAATCCCGCCCCCCACGCTCTCACCCCTGACACTGGCCCGGATGGCTCCTGAGGCCCTGCCAGCTCCCACTCTGAGACCCTTGTGAGCCCTGTCCCTGATGGGGTCATACCTGTTTAAACCTTGGCAGTATCCTATATCGGGGTTTCTCCATGAAAAGGCCAACAGGACATTCCGCAACTTCTGAATGCCTTCTGAAGTGGGACAAGAGTAATGTTTGTTATTTGGCAGCGTTCTTAAGAGGTCCAGCTCGATCTGCTTCGAAGCCGGGTTCTGCTTCTCCAGAGCATTCTGGAGCAGGGTCTGGAAGTAGCTGGGCTCGGCTCGGTCCTTGAACTTCTTTGTGTGGAGGTCAACGCACCACTTCCATATCTTGGAACGATGCTCGTGGGGAATCCCAGTGCGGATAAGGTTTTTCAGCTCGGGAGAGCAAATCATCTCTCGGTTCATGGTGCTGGCGAAATAATTTTCCCACTTGACCCCAGTGGAAATCTCCTGATTTTCCGTGAGAGCCAGAGTCTTCAGGTCCAGCGCCCGTACCTTAGCAACCAACTTCTCTTCTTCATCATCCTCAGGGACCGTCCGAAATCCGTAAATGTCATATTCACTGAGAAGACATTCAAACCTGCATTAGGCCTAGGAGCTAAACCATCTACAGACATGTACCTGGCAATATGTGGCACGTGGTAAAAGCGTGGCCTGTGGAGTCTAGAGTCACTTACTCTGTGTGAGGACAGATGGGTCACTGCCCCAGTGAGCTCTAAAATGGGGCAAATCTTTCCATCCTGTGGTGCCTAGAGCTAGAGCGGTTAAAAGTGGTAGGAGACACAAGGAAGGGGGAAGAGAATAAGCATTTATAGAGCCCCTACTATGTGTCAGGCACTGCCCCCAGTGTAATAATAAGAGCTAACAGTTCTACTGTGCCTACTACGTGTCAGGCACTGCACTAAGAGCTTCGCTATCTCATTTAATCCTCACAACAACCTTGCAAAGGTAGGTGCAAAATCTCCATTTTATAGTTGAGGAAACAGAGGTTAAGTGACTTGCCTAACGTCACTAGTAAATATCTGAGCCCAGATTGAACCCGGGCCTTCCTGACTCCAGGCCCAGCTCTCTCATCCACGGTGCCACCAGCCTCTTGTGATCTAGTAGGAGACAACCAATCCACAGACATTTAGTGAGCACCTACTCCGTGCCAAGCACTGTGGCTAGAAGGACAAATGTCAAATACACCCTGCGTGCAAGGCCATTCTATTGGCCAAGACACATGTACAAAATAAATCCAAGGTAGTTTAGAGAGAAGGCACATGCTCTTCAAAGTTAAATCACAATGTAAAATTTCAATAACAATGACTACAGAGACACAAGCATTATGCATGACCTCCTGCTCTGTTACCAGTCAGCTCTGTGGGGGCCGGCAGCTCCACCTCCCCACTGATCAGATGAGCGGCTGGATCGCACAGCTCCCTGTCAGTTTTTAAGTCTGTGCTGAGATTCTTTTTTCTTGATTAACGAGGCTTAGCAAATGTTTCTAAGAAACAAACAACAATAATACGTCGGTGCTCAAGGTCTCACTGGAGGTCTCGGGTGCAAGAGCAGAGCGCGTGTGGAGGCAGCCGACGGTCCTGCCTCCACTCCACACAAGCCTAGAGGCCCTGTCCGCGGAGGGATTGCAACCCTCCACATCCTTTCCTCTTCACCTGTAAAATGGGAGCATGGGCAGCCAAAGGCTCCAGGTCTAGGGCAATCCTGGCCTACAAAGAGGGGAAAGTTGGGAAAAGTGGATTCCTGCGTGGCCTCCTAAAAATGGTCAGATGGCAACCTGTACCTGACAAGATGTGGTTTGATGAAAGCTTGCTCAGGCTGCTCTGGGCCTTCCACCTGCAAAGCATCTTCCAGGAGCCGGGCTATGACGTCCCGGGCAGGCCCCTGCTCTTCAGAGCACACGGGATTCTTCATTTCTTGAAGCAAAATCAAATACTTGCTTTCTATTTGACACAGCTTGGCTTCCAGGCTAGAATACTGAAGAAAATGTTCTCATGACCACTTCAATTCAAATGCAGATAAAGAAAGCACAGCAAGCACACACATGTACATACTTACTTTAAGGTCAGGAATCTATTTCTCTTGTGTAAGTACTCCCTCCACTAATGCAGATCACAACCCTGCACCTCACAGCCACATCTCTCCTGACAAGTGTCTGCACTTAGCTGGTCCTTAGACAACACATAATCTGTCAGTGGGTCAATACACCAAAGCCTTCCACCTCCAGAGGACTTGTCTCTACTAACACAGCCTTTAAAGGCTCAGTCACCTCCACACCACAGCAAGGTGTCAGAGTGTGACTTTAGCAGAGAAAGCTACACGGGGAAATAATAACCCTAGCACCCTCAGTTTCCTCACCTGTGAAACGGGTACACAATAGCTCACATTTACATAGTGCTTTGAGGTTTGTGCAGTGCTGTACATGCATTAGCTCATTTTGTCCTAGCCCAGGGATGTAGTACTTCTACCCCACTCTCCCAGGGCTAAAGTGAGGCATTTATTTTTCCAACTCTAAAATGCTACAAAACATGTGATATGATTTGCAGAGTCTATGTTCTTAGCTCCATCTGACAGACGATGAAATGACGGCAGGTGAACTGGCCCGGGAAGGTCATGGGCTGGTCTCCTCTCCTTCCCACCCACCCCGATGCCTCCATGCTCACACAACCTGCTCAGTTTTAGGGTCTGCGTTGCAAGACTCAGAAGAACATGACTTCGAGACCCATCAGAATGATATGTCTAACTATTCCCAACAGCATCACTTACAATGTACTCTGTAAGTGTCACAAGAGCCTCCCTCTCCTCAATCAGGCAAGCTGAGAGTCAAAGAAGGATTAACTGCATAATTCTTTATATTCTCCAACAACCATTTCTTCCTCTGTAAGATTTCTGTTTGAACTGGCTTTCCTAAGCTCCCAAGCTGGAATGGTTCTCCCTCCATAATACCTTCCCAGAAAAGGGCAAACCTTTCAAACTCACCTTAACCATTAAATCCTTCTCTCGTCTTTCTGCATTTCTTCGAAGAGTTGAGAGTTCCAAAATCTCTTTATTCAGAAATTTATTCTGTGTCTTATACCCTTGAAGACTGTCCTGCAGAAGGGAAAAAAAAAACCTCCATGAACATAATAAACATACATTTTGATTCTGCTATTAGCACATCGATAATTAATATAGCCATTGGGTTTTTATATATATATATATATGTATCCGTTTTAACATTTGCAGAGTGCTTTAAACACTTTCCCATTTGGTCCTCCCAACAACCTGATGAGGTAGGTGGTGTTATCATCCCCATTTTATATGTGGGGAAACTGAGGCAGAGAGCAGCTGACTTGCTCAGAGTTACTTGTTTACAGAACTGGCTTGGTCTAAGGAGTCAGAACTAAAGCATTCATCAGGCTTTCAACTTAAGGACAGATATTCTGAGTAAAACAACAAAGAAGACATTTAAGATTTATTCTGTTTTAAGGTGGTGGTTTTCTCTACTGCCTATAAAATAGCTCCTTGTCTGGGGATTACTTCTTAAAAATTACACAAATATTGTGTACGCCCAAGTGCACCCCTGAGAGTAGAGTACCACAGTGTCTTAGCTAGAGAAGAAACACGGCTGTTTATAGCCATTCTCGCTTCTCCCTTCCCTTCATGAGATCCTCCCTAGCACAGAAATGGGGATCATGCACCCCAGACAGGCTGAGCTGCCGTGATCACAAAGACAGGCAGCCTCTCTGCCCCATCAAGTCCATTTCCCAGCCTGTTACTGACCTTTGTAGCCTAACTCTCTGAGAGTCAGACTCTAAAGGGACCTTACGCCCCAAAGCAAAGCACATTCAGGTGAAAAGGAATTTCAGAAAAGAGATGGCCAGTTCTGGAAGAGACTGCAAAGGAAGGTCTCAGCTGGAACATAACACTGAGGCCCACAGAAGGGGGAGGCACTTGCTCAAAGGCCTGCAGCTGGCCAGGGCTAGAATCACAACTAGAACCCACATTTCCTCACTCCTCTAAGGTTTTGAAACATGACAGCAAATCTCAATAGATTTATTCCTGATAATTTGTAAGTCAGATTTTTGAGAATCAAATCCTCCTTTCATTGAATGTCACATGCTCATCTTAATTAAATATACCCAGGTTCCATTCTAGGCAATACCATTTATCATTCCAACTACCTGACACCATGTGCGCTTTTTAAAAAAGACATCATGTCCAACGCAACATAAAGTTACAGCATGCTCGAGTTGGGTGATTTTTTAAAACCTTCTTGCACAATCCCCTCAATTGTTAGGGAAGAAACTGAAGTCCAGGGAGGCTTAAGTGAGGCCGAGCTGGAAACTCAAACTTCGATGCCTGATTCCCAGCCCTGTCTTCTGTTGCCCCATGGACCACATGTTTTTTATAGCTATTCACATATGTTTTCTACAAAGAGACACACAGCTAGATCTAGGTGCAGACACAAAAGCAGTTAGTTGAGTATGTAATTTTAACATTTCACAGCACATTAACAAGCTGGCGACAGGCTCGGCTGACCTGAGGCTTAAGGGTGGGTTTGGCAGAGATGGTCAGGAACACTATCAGCTATCAGGGTCCCTTGGAACTGTGAGCAGGAAAGATTGAAAGAAGTAAGGAAGAGAAGGATGAAACCAGACCATATGCAAATAACACTCAGGGCACACAAGTACACACCTAAACAGAAAACTAAACCTGGCTGGAAGAAGCCGCTAAGTAAGCAAAGGGCTCCAGCGAGACAAACCTGAAACAACCAGAGCCGTGAGCACCAGGGTTCTGTGTCAGGTGGCCAGATCCTTTGTTTCTGCGGTTGTCCATTTTCCTAAAGCAAGTGTTCTTTGGCACCACCACCGTTTTTGGCGTGTCCCTCCACGCTACAAATAACCTGCTGGCTGCTTTTCTTTGCCAAGTGACCTTTCATGATTCAACTGCCTGGTCAACTCGGCTGTGAAAGAAAAAGCCTCTTTTAACCTCCCCCTCAGAGAGGCCAAGCAAGGTCTGAGGGAGGGGTTGGGGGAGGGGGTGCAAAGAGCACAAGATAAGAGTCCAAGGACCTGGATTCGAGTCCCAGCTCTGCCAGGTACAGTCATGTGACCTTCACAAGCTTCCTCACCCATAGAATGCAGAGGTGGCTCGCACTACCTACCTTAGAGGGCCGTTCTCAGGAAAGAACTTGGAAAATCGCCACACTGGTGACACACAAATGTGAGGGATTTCATGTAAATATTATCCTCACCCCTCCACCGACTGAGAAACAGGGTCAGAGAGGCCGACTTGCCCACCCAGGTCAGAGCTGGCAGGAGGCAGAGTGGAAATGTGAACCAGGTCTTGGACTCTGAATCTAAAGAAAAAAACAGTCCTTCCCTAGCCACACTGCATCTAGGTCATTGGATTCATATTCTCTACTCAAATCTGGCAAAAATTTCACAGGAAATGAAGCGATGAGGTGGCATGATGTAACATGACATGGAAGACCTGCTTTTGCTGCCCCAGGTAAAGTTCTCAAGGCTGGTCTGTGGGGGCTCCTGGGAACAGGGAGGCTTCAACTGGTTAGAAAAGACAGCAAGTACTCCTTCCCCCTTCCCCTTGGGGAAATCTGGCAAATTTGGAAGAGATGGAGACAGGGCCAAGGAGTCACACCACTTGTAAACATTTGAAGAAGGATTTGAACCCAGATCTTTCTGACATCAGGTCCAGTGCCCAACCATCTGGACCTCTGGATTTCCATAGACACACTAGCTGAAATAAGAATAAGGAGTAAAGTGGCCAGTAAACTGGAGGAAGCTGCCCTCAGAGGCAAGAGCCACCAGCAGTAAGTGTCACTGGGTTCTCTCCCAGAGGGAGAGGTAAAGGCCCAGTTTACAGGGCAGTCACCACTGGACTGAAGGGAGGAGGTAGGAAGGAGTGGCTTCACCCACACAAAAACAGAGGCCCTCTGAGAGAGAGGAGCAAATTTTTATCCAACTCCGGGCACTGCTACAGTAATACATTACAGTAATAAAAGAGATAAACCAATCAGCCAGGTAGACCTAAAGATCTGTGCCTTGATAAACGTAAGAAAAACCTGCTAGCAAAGAACGTCATTCCAGATTTACTTAGTTCCCTCTCAGTAAGTACTAAAGTGAACGCTCAATAACATCACTGTGGCTTATCTGCAGTAAATCTCACGCTGAGCTGCAACTGACAGCACAGCCGGTTTCCTTGTCTTCCTCCCAGGAGCCCCGAAGGGAACGTCCCCAGCCCAGAGAAGGCAGGTCCGTATAGGCAGACAGAAGCCACGCAAGGATTCCATCCATCTCAGGCCTCCCTGGGCCTCTAGTAGGTCCCCAGGGCCTTGGCCCTTCCCCTCTCAGTAAGTGCCAGGACTACCCCTTTGGCCATGATTGCTCTTTCACCTGGCATGGCTGACTAGGTGAACTAGGCTGACCCCCTGATGACTCTAGACACTGAGCTGATTGTAGTTACTGAGCTTAGAAATGGAATGCACCTGAAACCTAATGACCTTTCCCCTTCCCCTGCCCCAGCCTCTGGGTGTCCTTTCCCCATACTCACTTCAATCTTCCCCTTCTTCTCCTATTTGGGCAAGACTACATTTTCTAAAGGCTACTAACAAGGGCAAAGACTTAAACAAAAAAAAAAAACAAATTAAAAAACTAACATATTTGTGTTTTTAATATGAGAAAAAAAATCTACCTAGTCCCCAAACTAGGTGGGCCCTTTATTTTAGATTCAAGTTTCTTCAGTCCTAGCTGTGCCAACCCAAGCTCTGCCCCACCTCCACCAAGAGCAGGACCACTGCCTCACTTCCCCTCAAGACCTCACGGGAAGGGGCAGGTAGATGGTGCAGTGGATAGAGCACTGGTCCTGGAGTCAGGAAGACCTGACTTTAAATCCAGCCCCAAACCAAACACTTGACACTTACTAGCTGTGTGACCCTGGGCACGTCACTTAACCCCAACTGCCTCTCCAAAAAAAAAAAAAAGACTTCATAGGAGAAAGGTAGCTCCTCTTCAAAAAAGACTCAAGCTGACCTTGAGGGCCCACTGGGGCTTCATGAAGCAGGATGGCAGAACCATCCTTCCAGTCAACGTTCATTCTCATTTTGTGATGGTGCCATGTTTAGAATGGCGCTCCATCCATGGACATCTAACTGTACTAACTCTACTGTCATCACAGGACAAGAACATACAAACTTGTCACCAGGAGCTTTCCCCACCTCCCGTCTCTCTCCACTTCAGGCCATTCTCCACTCCGCTATCAAGCTGATTTTCCTAAGCACAGATCTAACCATGTTACTCTCCCTACTGAACCAACTGTAGTGGCTCCCCATTACTGCCAGGATAACCTGCCTCTCTCCCTTCCAGGTTCTTTACTCCTTACACACTGCCAGTTATTCTTCAATCCAGTGACAATGGCCTCCTTGCTTGTTCCCCGATCAAGACACCCCATCTCCCACCTGCAGGCACTCGCCCTGGCTGTTGGCCCTCCCTGGAATGCGCTCCCTCCTCATCTCTGCCTCCTGGTTTCCCCGGCTTCTTTCAAGTCCCTGCTAAAATGCAACTTTCACAGGCAACCTTTTTTGATCCCCCTTAACTATAGTGCCTTCCCTCTCCAGAGGATCTAAGTTTCTCCTGCACAGAGCTCGTTCGTACACAGCTGTTTTCATGTGGTCGCCCTCATTAGACTCTGAGCTTCCTGAGGCCAGGAACTGTCTTTTACCTTTATTTGTATCCCCGGCACATACTAGGCCATTAAGAAATGGTTACTGATTGCTCCATACTTTCAGTTTTCCAAGATGAGAATCACAGGAGAAAAGGGGCAAGAGGGACTTGAGCTGGAAGAGAGTGAGAAAGAATTATAGCACTTCAGGGTTGGAAAAGATGCCCGCAGCCATCCACTTCAACTCGTACCACACAAAGGGCCGACAGGAGAAGGGATGGGAAGAATGAGCATTTCTACGGCACCTCCTCTGTGCCAGGCACTCTGCTAAGTGCTTTACAAATATTATCTGGTTTGGTCTTCACCACACCCCTGGAAGGTAGGTGCTATCATTATCCCCATTTCACAGATGAGCAAACTGAGGCAAACAG